TATTCAAAAAGGCTCAACGTTTCACAGTGGAGACATTTTCAATTAGTATTCTCATATAGTAGCTGCCCCAAAAGTCGCTATCACCTTGAATCCGTTTGACTTACGGTCGGGTAAATCTATAGGAGTACTTGTCTCATCTTTCAGCTTTCTATCTAGATATTCCTTTGGTATTTCCAGACATGAGGTATTTCACGCATTTCATCTTTTACTTATCACTACACGTCTTAGAAGAGGAGCGCATGTGATCATGTGGTTAGGAGATGCTCTGAGTCGCACACAAGGCTGATGGTTCGATCACGCGTTCATGGCTTACCAAGCCATCCATCCCTCCGAGGTTGGTAAATTGGTACAGACTGGTCTCAGACTTGTCTGGGACGAAAAGCACCACTGACCCAACACAGCGGGAGGCCACCGCGAGTCATTGTAAAGGACAGAAACGCATTCAATCGCCTCAATATACTTGAAAATTGATAACGAAGCATGGCTCATCTGTTAGAGTTGATCAACGGCGAAAGCTTTATACTTTATCCCTTTATTTCTTATAAAAAACTATGATGTGTCTAGACTCTTGCAAACTCCATTTCTGGCGTCAGAGCTTATAACGCAGTCCTCCGTCTTGCATATAGGGTAGTACAGACTGGTCAAATCAATTGGTGTATTAGGTAAAATGCGTATTTTTATTGCAGAGCTCTAAAAATCACTTGCATACGACACTCTTCAATGAGGTGACATCGCTTATTGAGGAAGATAATTTTTTGAAGCATCTTCTCATTTGGATTTGGCACCCATTTTTTGAATTGAATAGCTTATCTATCCTTTGTGATGTGATCGAAATTGCAGTTCATTAAGTGGATTTGCTGGTAAAATGGTTAGATGCTGCAATGAGTCGTTTCTTCCCCAATAGGGATTGGCTAAGTCGAAAGGCATCGTGCAAGTGATGAGGCTGCAAGACGTAAACAAGTGTTTTGCATTCTATAAGTGCCTATAACTGATCACAAGCATGGTTCAAAATAAGTATCAGGTGCATTGGAATCTCAGCGTGGTCTTGAGAAAACACTCAAAACGAATGGTATAGATATGGATGATTCCGAAGCTAAGTGTCCAGCAACTTTGTTCTATCGTTCTGTAAGCTTGGGCTTTATATTTCCATTTCACATTTCTTTTAATGCGTATAAGCTTGATTGCTAATTGTAATATTCTTTTCGCTCTCATAGCGCTACATGAGAAGCCTTTCATAAATCAAATCCGTTATGAAAATAATCCTAATTAAAGCTTATAAATGATCAATAAAGGTCTGATGAAAAGCTAAGCAAAGATGGCAACCGTAGAAATATTTCACTGCAGACAGCCCATAAATTTTCTTTGCTTCACAGCGAACTGCCATGTCATTTCAGAAACTAAGTACAGCAATGTTATCGTAGTTATCAAGCTATCAAATAGTTGCTAAAAGTTCAAGGAAAAGTCAAAAAGGCTCTGTCGAGGGAGGGCTATGGAGATATTTTTAATTGATAAGAGCCCATTGTTAATTTTTAACATTTTGTCAGCAGTCCTTCATTTAGAATCGATATGACCTACACATGAATTCTGAATTAAAAGTTATGTCCAACAAAAGATACTCGAGTGTGAAATAACTTTTATTTTCACTAATACGGTGTTTTATAAAAGCACTCAAAAAATGAAATCACCTTTTAAATCTCCGAAATTGAAGCTGTTAAATAATTGCGGAATTGTCACAGAGGAATTTAAAATACGTTTTTTTTTATTATGGATGAGGATGAGAGAAAAGTTCTGGGAATACTTCTTTGGAGACAAATATATCTAACCAATAGTCTGCATAATGCCGAGGAAGAGAACGTCTTTCTCAGATACCATTCTTTCGATCGTAATAGATTTGTCTGCGCTACAATCAGCTCTCAAACTCGGTCATGTGGAATACGTAGAAATCGATTGGCTTTATGTACCTAAACACACGTTTCCTTAAACACCTCCTATTGTCACCAAAGAGGGGTAAGATTCGGGCAACAACACTTTTCAAGACGATTCACCAAATATTTCTTCACCATTGTCCTCTTCATGTAATTTGGCAGAATGTTATGTGATAATGGCCGAAAGTTCGAAGGTCTCCTTTTCATGGAGGCTTAGGAAGGTCCAATTGATTCCCTTTTCCTCAGTCGACCACTTCCGAAGGAAAGCATTCGAAGATGTGAAGTTGAGTGACAACATTGAAAAAACGAAAAATATGCACTACTGACTGATATATTGTTAGCACATCTGTGGCTTACTGCGCAGGGTTTTTTTTGTATGCAAAAGTACTCGAGTTAACCTCGCAAACGCGGGCCACAACTGCCTCATAATGTCCAGCATAGTGTAGGCATGCAAGCGATAAACGTGAAAGATGATACCCAAGAGAAGCCGAAGACGATTAGGTCTCTGGCTTACTGATGGGCGGCCACAAGAACTTGCACGTGGTCACGCTCGAGCTATTTTAGATCTTGGAACTTGAGAGAGGTAAGCTGAACCGTCTTAAGGTCAACCAACTACGAAAATACATAGAATACGCAAATTAAGTAGCATTTACAGCGGCAAAAGATTGCAACGACGAATAATGCTCATAGTATGGGTGAACAAATATATATAATTTCCTTCTTGCCGGGAGCGAGTGCTATAATCAGTTGCCTTGCTCAGGCCCATTTCGCACGCCACTCTTTCTAGCTACAGCGCATCTATCTGACAGCCGCCAACCGTCAACAGCCAGCCTCGGGTAGTCGGTATTGACATTGCACCCTAGTCACGCTGACAGAGACCGGGCAATAATGATCAATTGAAATTATTTTTATTTTACCGCTTTTAGCAATAATGTGATGTTATCAATATACCCAGTGATCTGAGTGATGTGGAGAACTTTTGCGTCAGGCGGGGCTGGAGCCCACATCTCACTCTATCCAGGAGCGCGCGCCCTAATCCGTTACCTTCAGCGTGATTGGGGTTCAATGTCGATACCCAACTACACAAACCAGGCTGCTGACGGTTGGCGGCTCGCAGATAGATGCGCTGTAGCGTAAAAAGAAAGGTGTGCAGAATGGACGTCAGTAGTGCAATGGATCAGAGCACGCCCTCCCGATTAGAGTGAGATGTGGGATGGACTCCCGCCTGACGCGAAAGATTGGAAAAAAAAACTCTAGATCACTGGTTATATTAACACTTTGACGACCACCGTTAATTGGCAGGCGATGTTGCATCGTCGCTTGGGCGGCGCTCGATAAACAGGACATCTTCGTCTCTGTGCGAAATTGTCGTTGTGCCTGCGTTCTGCTGCAGCAAGCGCCTTCATTCCACGCCATCGTCTCGGTAGATAATTAAGACTGTGGGAAAACTGAGAGTGACTACAAAGGCAGAGGAGAGTGCGCACCGGGTATAGACAACCATTTGCTAGGAAGCTGTCACTATCACTACCACCATCACTATCACCATCACTATCATTAACTCCACCACTATCACTATCGTCATCATTACCAACATCACTATCACTATCTCTATCACTATCAGATCACTATCGCTACCACCGTCACCATCACTACCACAATCACTATCACTGTTACTATCTCCATCACCATGAGGAACGGATGGGTTTCTAATGCCCCATTCATGCTCAACGGAACGACAATCTCCGAATGCTCCAGTTACGTCTATCTAAGTCGTAAAATCAACATGATGAACGACATAGCTCCAGAGTTAAGCAGGAGGAAACGAGCGGCTTGGGGAACGTTTAAGAGCATCGAAGATGTAGTGAAGAGGACAAAGAACATCCGACTCCGTGCCCACCTTTTCGACTCGACAATTATCCCTGCCCTGACGTATGCAGCAGAAACCTGGTCGCTACGTAAGCAGAATGAAAGATCACCTGCCGTTATCGAACGCGCATCGAAAGGTCGATGCTAGAAGTATCCCGTATCTCGCAAATGAGAGAAAGGTTTCCGAAGTTCCGATCTACGTCAACGATCGAAAATCAGAGACGCCGTTCTACACGCCAGGATATCGAAAATAAGGTGGGCCGGACACGTGATACGCTTCAACGACAACCGATGGACGAGAGCCGTTACCGACTGGATTCCTCGGGGCGTCAAGCGCTCTAAAGGAAGACCACTGACCCGTTGGTCCGATTTCTTCACGAAAGCGATAGAAGAAAGATATGATGCTCAGCGAATTCCTAGAGCAAGGAGGACCCACTGGGCTACTCTTGCAAGCGATAGGGAAAAATGGAAGAGTTGCTGGTACCCGCTCGAGTCACTCGACGATCAACGGACGACAGGTGATACAGGTAATCTCCGTCACCATCACTACCTCTATCACTAGCACTACCATCACTACCACTATCATTACTATCACTATCACTGTCATCACTGCCACCATCATCATTACTATCATTATCACTTTCACTATCATTATCACTATGAATATCATTGTTACTTTTGCTACCATTATCTTTATAAATATCATCTATTATCACAATCATTATCGAATGAAAGTGAAATTTATTTTACTAGCTGGAAGTGCGACTGTTGGTTAGTGCAATGTCTAACACTGTATGATTGCCCTTATCAAACCTCATTAACAGCTCAAAACAGTAACAAATGTTATCACTTTCGTAATTTAGAGAATTGAGCGGTGAGCAAAAACACTGCCTCTGGCGGGACTCGAACCCGCGTTCCCTCCTATCCTAGGACGCGTGCTTTAAACCACTACACCACCGAGGCGCATTTACACAACCACTCATTCTTCAACATCTCTATGTTAGCTATCAGTCACCAACCTTCTTGGTAGGATATACGATTTCGCTTTATAAATCCCGTTGAGCTGACAGCTATTGTTATATATAATACATCGAAATTATAGTATTTCTACTGCTTATTTCGCAGTGTTACGATGTTACTTATAAGGTTAAAGGTTGGTGACTGATAGCTAACATAGAGATGTTGAAGAATGAGTGGTCGGGTAAATGTGCCTCGGGTGGTGTAGTGGTTAGAGCACGCGTCCCCGGATAGAATGAAATGTGGGCTCGATTCCCGTCTGAGGCCGTGTTTATGCTCACCACTCAATTCTCTGAGTTATAAAAGTAACATCATAACACTGCGAAATAAGCAGTAAAAATACTAATTTCGGACTTTCGTAATCACTTGTATTATCGAAAACATAGTCATTATCACTTTCGTAGTCGTTATCACTACGGCCATCATTTAGCGGTATAATTTTGTCGTAGAAACATATGAAATGTAGATGAAATATTTGAGGCATATGTTTTCTTCACTGAGGATAGCTCTGTAAAAACTTTTTCAATAGTTCCATCATTTGATGATGAAAGTGCTCGCTCCAAATTTGAGTTCCTCTTCTCGCATCCATCATGTTGTCTGGAGTCTGTCTTCTGACGAGATTTGTCTCTTTTCTCACCTGGAGCGACGCCGCCATTACAGTAACTGGGGAGACTTGACGTCGCGCGGTGTGGAACGAAACGTCACATGGTCCTCAAAGTAATTTATCAATTAAATATGGTAACTTAGCTCTTTACCTGGCACGAGGTTGGTAAACGGCGTTGGTGTTGTTGTTGTTTGCCTCAAAAGCATATGAGGAACTAGTGGAAACGTGCTGTATGAAAGAAGTACAATAATTTTTTTGAAAAATTCTACAAGGCGGAGAAAAAATCCCAGTCAAACGAAGAACATCGCGCACCGCCGCGTAATTCGCGCTGCGATTTCTATAGGCTTCTCTTAAAAAAAATATCGCGGTGTTATAATCTTTCATGGTGTTATAATCTTGTTAATCTTGTGGTGTGTTCTTTTATGGTGTTATAATCTTTTCGCACGAGTCGCAGGCAACCGAAACCTTACGTCCGAACTTGCGAAACGATGCAGAGAAGCGATAAAAGAAGACCTTAAAGAGAGAAGAGCAGCAGTTATGGCAGAAGCTGCAGAAGCTGGGAAGAGCATTCGCAAAGCCCAGCGTGGCTTCGCCAACTATAAGACCAAGATGATTGCACTCCGATACCCTGACGGACACTTACAACTTCCAGAAGGGCTATGGAGAAAATCATCCACCAGTACTACTCGGATCTCTTCGCTAGCCATGTTCTCTTACCGTCATATAAATTGAAAGAGGACGAATATGTCGTTCCACCGGTCCTTCCTTCCGAAATCCGACATGCTATATCGTCGGTGTAAAACAGAACAACACCCGGTCCAGACAGGATTAGACCAGAACACCTGAAGAACCTGCCGCCAGTTCTCATCAACACCCTGGCTCGGCTCTTCACTCGCTACCTGTCAGAATGCAAGGTCCCTATTCAATGGAAAACCAGCAAGACCGTATTGTTGTTCAAAAAGGGAGACCTTCACGGCATAGGCAATTATCGCCCAATCTGCTTGCTGTCCGTTGTCTATAAACTCTTCACTCGAGTCATCCTCAACAGGATTGACAGAACACTGGACGAAGAACAGCCATGCGAACAAGCAGGGTTCAGAAAAGGATTTAGTACCATGGACCACATCCACACGATCACAAGACTCATTGAAGTTTCGCGAGAGTACAAACAACCACTCTGTCTCACTTTTATCGATCTGAAAAAAGCCTTTGATTCAGTGGAAACAGAAGCGGTTATAGAGGCTCTGGATAACCAGGGCGTCCCTACTCGTACATAATGATCCTTGGTGAGCTTTATAAAGATTTCACGACCAGAATATCTCCATTCTACAACAATATCACCATTGACGTAAGAAGAGGGGTTCGACAAGGCGATACAATATCGCCAAAACTATTCACTGCCACCCTACAAAACGTCATGCGAACATTAGAATGGGACGAAATGGGAGTGAAAATTGACGGTCGACAATTAAACCATCTTCGCTTTGCTGACGATATCGTTCTCATAACACCAACATCAGCCAAGCGGAACGAATGTTGACTGATTTCGATAACGCCTGTGGAAAGATCGGTCTTCAACTGAATCTAACGAAAACAATGTTCATGAGGAACGGATGGGTTTCCAATGCCCCATTCACGCTCAACGGAACGACAATTTCCGAATGCTCCAGTTACATCTATCTAGGTCGTGAAATCAACATGATGAACGACTTAGCCCCAGAGTTGAGCAGGAGGAAACGAGCGGCTTGGGGAACGTTTAAGAGCATCGAAGATGTAATGAAGAGGACAAAGAACATCCGACTCCGTGCCCACCTTTTCGACTCGACAATTATCCCTGCCCTAACGTATGCAGCAGAAACCTGGTCGCTACGTAAGCAGGATGAAAGATCACTTGCCGTTATCGAACGCGCAGTCGAAAGGTCGATGCTAGGAGTATCTCGTATTTCGCAAATGAGACAAAGGATCCGAACTTCCGACTTACGTCAACGATCGAAATCAGAGACGCCGTTCTACACGCCAGGATATCGAAAATAAGGTGGGCCGGACACGTGATACGCTTCAACGACAACCGATCGACGAGAGCCGTTACCGACTGGATTCCTCGGGGCGTCAAGCGCTCTAAAGGAAGACCACTGACCCGTTGGTCCGATTTCTTCACGAAAGCGATGGAAGAAAGATATGATGCTCAGCGAATTCCTAGAGCAAGGAAGACCCACTGGGCTACTCTTGCACGCGATAGGGAAAAATGGAAGAGTTGCTGGTACCCGCTCGAGTCACTCGACGATCAACGGGACGACAGGTGATACAGGTGATAATCTTTCATATATTCCTAAGAGAATTGAGTGTTGAGCCAAAACACTCTTTAGGAACATATGAAACTTCTCTTAGGAATACAACACCATAACACTGCGATAAAGGCAGTAACAACAATAGAACTTAGGATTATTACTTATCACGATGGCTGTCAGCTTAACTGGGAATTTAAAAGGAAATTGCATTCCCGACCAAGCCCATTAAAGGATGGTGGCCGACAGATAACATAGAGATGTTGAAAAATGAGTGGGTCCAGCAAATGTGCCTCCGTGGTGTAGTGGTAGAGCACGAGTAGAGAAGCATAGGATGAAATGCAGGTTTGATTCCCGGTTCAGCCCGTGTTTTTGCTCACCACTCAGTTCTCTTAGGAACACATGAACCATGATAACATTGCGAAAAATTTCAGCAAAAACAATTAGAATTTGGATTATTGCTATACTTTGACAGTGCATTTTAAGATAAAATGAAAATCCTCTTATTTCACCGCTTCTAGCTGCGCTATCATGTCTTAAATATACACATTAATGTAGAGTTATGTTCAAAACTTTCGCGTCAGGCGGTACTAGAACCTGCACCACACTCTTTCCAGGAGCGCGTGCTCTATCTGTTACACTATTGACGCCCATTTATACAGTACTCCTTCTACGCTACAGCGCATCTATCTGCCAGCCGCCAGCCGTCAACGCCCTGGCCCGGGTAGTCGATTGGGAAATTGAATCCAGTCACGGTGACAGATATTGGGTATTAAAGATCAGATGAAATTTTTTCTTATAAGCGCTTCCAACGGTGATGACGTTTCAATGTGGAAAGAGTGTTGTGCAAAGTGGGCGTTAGTAGTGTAACGGATAGAGCACGCATTACAGGATAGAGTGAGGGAAGGGTTATAGTCCCTCCTGACACGAAAGTTTTGCACATCACTCTACATCAGTGTATTTTGAGCCTTTCATAAAGTCTGTTATAGGCACCTATACATTGCCAGTCACGTGTTTCGGCCTTATGGCCTAGTTGCACGGGTGTCTTTCGCCCATTCAGTTCCTCAAGGATCTACCCCTATATAGAAAAATCGACGACGAACTTTTCCCACTCAACGTGCTCATGAAAAGGTTTCATGAAAGGCTCAAAATACAATATCAGATTATACTATTCTCGAGAGAAGTCTCAAAGTAGTCGATTGTTACATATGTCCACATATAAACGATTCACCACGCAATAGACAAGCAACCACTCTGAAAGAATGCCACGGTGATTGCTTGATTGCACATTAAGCACAAAATTTTCCTCGTCAGTTCCTCTGTACGAGGGTGGAATCCCGAGGAACTGACTGGATAAATAAGCACTGTGCTACTGACGAGGCTGTAAGGCCAAAACATGTCTCTTGCACTGCACAAGTGCCCATAACAGATCTCACGAAAGGCTCAGAAGAATTTGTCAGATTAAAATGCTCTTCAGCGACGAGGTCTCCAATAGACATTTACAATGTTTGTCACAATCTTGCTATAGCAACCCTCTGTACTTTTTGACAAGAAACTGTACTAAATCAAATTTTCACTGCTGCTGTCAAAATCATTTTATCAAATGTTATAGTATCATTCCTGCTGACAACACTAGTTTGTGTGGATTGCCACACCTGCGCCACATGTTGCCCCACTTAATGTAAAGTTACTAAGGCAAGTTATAATAAGCCTTCCATTTTTCCGTTTCGCCTAAGAAGAAATCATTGCGATCTTCTACCTGCAGACACTCGCCAAGCATTACCACTTTCTTTTAGCATTTTGTAAATGAATCAAATCATACCAAATGGTTCTACAGCTGCGCGTTTGGAACTCCGAAGAATCCGATCGGTAACGGCTCTTGCCTACAAGTTCAAACACACAAGATGCTCGTTCACACGATCTTAATAACTTTGCGCACAGAGCGGCTTCTTCGAATTAGGGTGGTTACCGCAGCTCAAGCTTCTCAACCCTTCTCCCATCGGAAGATACTTCTGCATCGAACTTTTAAGTGTGCGTTCAAGGCGTCAACTGATCTCTCATTCTGCTCAATTGTCGGCAGGATTTCTGATGCATACCTTAAGGTAGAGATAACCGTTAAATCAAAAAGTATTCACAATGTTAATGTTCTTCATTATCTTCGCGCGTCTTCGAAGCTTCTAAACGCTCACCGAGCCGCTGGTTTCATTTTGCTCGGCTCTGTAACTAATTCGTTCATCATATTGAAATCCTCTCCTAAATAGGCCTGATTTTAGAGTTCAGAAGTATCGATTTCGTCAGGAATAATAGATATTCAAAATCAATTCTCTAATCATGCCGCTTTCGTGAGATGTAGTCGAAGACCATCCTTTCCACAAGCG